GGGCGGGGCGGGGTTCCGCGCATTGTGAGGCGGGGCGGGGCGGGGCGGGGCGCACCACGGCGCGGAGGCAAGTAGCAATGAAACTTTTTTCCCCATCATCTTTTGACTTTTCGCGCGGGAGGCTCAACGCCTCCCGCTTTCAAAGTCCTCTTCACTTCACACGCACGCGCACACTCCCATCTCCTCCTCCCACTCTCTCTGCCACCCGACGAGGACCGAAGGAAGGGCCGCCAAAGGACGCTGCCCGAATTGAAAGGGGATGACGGCCTGGCTGGCCCTGGGGCTGGCTCGGGCTGGCCGCGCAGGACAGTGTGCCCCCGCCTCGGCCCTAGGCGCCAAATGCCCCAATTTCGACAAAGTTGCCGACTTTATGCCTCGCGCGGTGAGGTCGGTTTCGACGTGTGAGGTTCAAGATAACGGACGGCATCGGTTCCCTTCGGAACACCGAAGTACAGCAGGCGGATAGAACCTCACTGGGGGTGCAAAGGCCTCATTGTTTTTTTTAGCAGATGATGCTTCAAAACATCCCTAGAACAATACAAGACACTTAAAGGTGTCAGCTAGCTTTTATTTTCTTTACCTTAAGTGAGGTCGTTAGCGTGATTTGGGTTAGGTTAGGCAAGTGAATGCCAGTCCTCTCCATTTCTTTTATTGATACTAACCAAATGTTGGACACGTTTACGTAAGAACACAGGAATTTGAATAAATTTGAATAAATGTGGCGTCGCGGTGAGGCACCGCTCGGGATCAGACGACTGGACGGGGCCCTCGTCACCTCCCGTCGCGCAGCAGCAGCAACAGCAGTTCGATGCAGAAAGGCACTGACACATAATCGATTATTTAGCAGTGCATTAGCCGTCCATGAAATGCATGCGGGCCGAGGTGAATGTTTCATCCTTGTCCGTCTCCGTCGTCTCGGGGCGTCTCTCTCCTTCGTCAGGCGGGCCGGCGCCGCCCGTCCCCCAATGCGTAATGCACGAGATTCTTTCCCCGCCCTTTGCCGGACCGTCGAGAGGTTTCCCTTTGTTTCCCGGAGGCGGAGGGGGCGGGGGGGCGACATGAAAGTAGGTCGCGTTTCAAAATTAATTTGGCCCAAGTCAGAATGATTAATTAGGCGTTTGTGGGGATTCTCATTCAATCGAAATCGTAATGTTCGTTTACTTGGGTGGATGGCGAATCCATCATTGTCGTCCTTGTCCTTCTCTTTGCTTCGCTTCAAAACAGCGGCGGTCTTCGATCTGGCCTCCCGCCTGGATTGTCCGGCATGTGACAATAGCCGCTGCACTGGAAAATTAAGCGCGCCACGTGTGCCCCCCCCCCTCCCCTCGTGCCACTGCTGCTAGCGCGGTAACGAGATTTTCAGCTCTGCTTAGTTCGGCGTCCCCATCGGCCCGCCCCGGCCGCCCCGGCCCGCCCCATCGGGAGCGAGGATGAGCTCCGAGGGTCGACGAGTGGACCGCGGCGGCGGACGGCTCAGGCGGGCGGCTCAGGCGGCCGGGCCTCGCCGTGCAGGCCTCGGATTAGTGCAGCATTTTGTATGCAGGCCCGGGCCGCGCCCCTGCGGACGGCCGGGTAGGCCAGCCCGCGCGGCGGCCACGAACGGCGGTGCCTACCCGGCGGCTGGCGGGCGCTCGCCGGCCGTGGAGGAGCACAAGGCCCTGCCGGCGGAGGGGCGCGGCAGCACGGCGGCGCGGCCTCTGCCTCACCGGACGCGTCGCCGTGCCTACTGGCCCGTGAGGCCTGCCCGTGGGGTCGGCGGGTCGGCGGTCGGCCCGGAAGCAGTTAGGACCGAAGCTCCAAGTTACTGGACAAAGCGGCGCCCGGCGCCGCCAAGCTGTACACTGGAGCAGCAATTAGGGGACGCACGACGCGGTGCTCGCGGCCACCCGGAGATCGAGAGCGTCTCTATACCCGTCTCTCTCGCACCCCTACGGGCCGTGCGGGCCCCACGGCACGCCCCGTGAGTGCGAGCGAGACAGAGCGGCGGCCCGAAATTAGACGGCGGCCCAAGTTGCGGCGCTGCTGCTGCGGCGTTACTATTAACTACTCGATAATGACGGTCGCAGTCAACCTACAGTGGCGTTCGGTTGGGTTCGGTTCGCCCGGCCCGGGACCGAGGCCGGGACCGAGGCCGGGACCGAGGCCGGGACCCTTCGAATGTGCGACGTCGCCCCGCGGGGCTGCGAGCTTTGAGCACCCTGAGGTAATAGTTCGCCCGTGGGACTGCGGCGCTGCGGCGCGCCAGTTCAGCCAGCCATGCAGCAGCGGTCCTTGATGATGCCGGCCAGCGCAGTGGGGCACCGGCAAAAACAGAGCTTAAAAATAAACTCTTTTTTGGGCCGCTTAGCACACTTCCGGGGCGGCGCGTTATACACACGCACTTAAAGGATTAAGACCCCCAGGACCCCGGGCCGGCGCGCACTGGCCCGGTGGGACTGCCCCGACTGCCGCGGCCCGATCGGGATTGCCGTCCCATTTTACGATCCGTTCGGGGATCCGGGAGGGGATTACCTCCCCACCCTCCCCTACACTGGAGCTACCTCCTCAAAGGAAGCGGAAGGGGGGGGGGGACACGCCGCGACAAAACGATCACACGTCCAGCGGGCTGCAGCGGGCTACCGCTGCCTCTGCGGGAGCGCGGCGGGGAGCGAGACTCGGCGAGACTGCGAGGCCGGGACGGCCGGGGCACTCCTGGCGCATCAAAGACAAAGAGGGATTTCGCAAGACAGATGAATGAGCACGCCGCCGCCGTCGCCGTCGCCATCTGCAGCGGCACGGCACGGCGCGGCACGGCACAGCGAGGCACCGCCACCGCTTCTTTGCGTCTTAGCCTGCTTATTGCGTGTCGCTGTCCCGTCCTGGCAGTGCTGTCTTGAGAGAGCAGCCTGGAAGATTAGCCTGGAAGAACAGCCTAAAGGGGAGCAGCCTGGAAGAAAAGGTGAGAATCCTGGAAGAACAGCCTAGAAAGAGCGGCCTGGAAGAGGAGCCTGGAAGAGCAGCCTGTAAAAACAGGTAAAGAACAGCCTGGAAGAAAAGCCTAAAAAGAGCGGCCTGGAAGAGGAGCCTAGAAGAGCAGCCTGTAAAAACAGGTGAGAACAGCCTGGAAGAACAGCCTAGAAAGAGCGGCCTGGAAGAGGAGCCTAGAAGAGCAGCCTGTAAGAACAGGTGAGAACAGCCTGGAAAGAGCGGCCTGGAAGAACGGCCTGGAAGAGCAGCCAGAGGGTGGGCCGGTGAGGCTGCAGGCAGGCCGGCGGCTAATGACTTCATTTGGCCTTTGCGCTGCAGCCTTCGCCACACTTCTCCACGCTCTGCCACGCCCCGCCACGCCCCGCCACGCCCCGCCACGCCCCGACACGCCCCGCCTCACCACGGCCCCCAAGGCTCTCCGTTTCACTTTACAGTCACCATCCCCACGTAATCTCTTTCAAGGAGCCTCTTCCCACGGGGCACCAAGGGCGTGACCGCCAAGCCCCGCCAGCCCCGCCAGCCCCGCCAGCCCCGCCAGCCCCGCCAGCCCCGCCAGCCCCGCCTCTCCAATCACGAGGCACGCCGCTGGAATTGGAGCTCGCCGTCGTGCGCTGCTGCCTTCTGCGACTTTTCGTAAACGTTTTTCTCGCTTTGTTTGTTTATACGGTCCAAAAGTTTTTCTCTTTTTGTTCGTGCGGCGGCAGGGGAGGCTCCTCCGAGGATCGTTTCGAGGAGGGGGAGCAGACTCTAATGGGAAGGCAGTTTGACCCAAGTCCGTTTGGGGGTCAAATGTCGAGTCTGCGCGCCAGGCCCGCCAGGGCCGCCAGGGCGCCGTTCACGACAGAGAGCGTCATGCCGCCGTTCGAGGCAAGGCGAGACAGGCCAGCACTTTCGCCTCCCTCTGTCTCCCTCGCTCTTGAGGCGCCTCGTGCGAGTGCGAGAGAGGCAGAGCGAAAACGCTGCACGGAATCAGTCTGCAGGGGCAGGGCGGGCCGAGGGGGAATTCATTTGCCACACCTGGCCACCTCGTGCCCGCCCCGCCCCGCCCCGCCCCGCCCCGCCCCGCCCCGCCACGGCGCCCTTCATTAAGGCAGAGCCGCCAGGCGGGGCAGACGGGGCAGCCAGCCAGCCAGCCCGTCAGACAGGGTGTGGCCGTCCCCTTGACGACCCGCCGCGCGCCGCGCAGCACCGGGCCGTGGGGCCGTGTCGGGCCGCGCCGGGCTAGCCCAGCAGCATCTTGGAGGCGACATTGACATGACATGGACCGGGGAGGGGAGGCGGAGGTCCGTGCATCACGCAGGGCCACACGGCCTCGGTGATAAAGACCCTTCATCTTGTTCTTTGCCGCGGTCCCCCCCCCCTCCTCCACGCCTGCTGGGTAAATTGGAGGAAGCTGTCGCCGTGGGACCCCATCGGATCCAGCTCAGCCCCAGCGCCGCCCCGCCGCCTCCCAGCCGACCCACTGGCACAGTGCGCACAGTGCACGAGCCCTTCCCCCACCCCGCGGCCACCCCCTGCCCCTCCGCTGCCCCTCCCCGCACTGCACGCCAGGCACGCCACTGCCACAGGGCGGAGGGCGGCGCACTCTGTATATACAGTGACCGTTATAGGAAGCGATTTTCGCAAGCCATTCGATATGCGACTCCTGGGCGATCGGCGACGCGGCGGGTCCAGGCGACGCCCCACCGCCCCCTCCCCTCCCCTCCTCTCGCCGCGACGCCCTGCCGCCTGCGGGGCGGAGGGGCCTCCAAAGGGGTAGCCCTGCGCATGCTCCCGGAGCGCTCTCTGGCGGCTGGAGGCAGAAGCTGCTGGTCCCGGCCCTGCGTCCTGGGCGTCCCGGCCGTCCTGCCGTCCTGCCCCGCGGCCGCGCAGTCAGTGCAGCGCCCACCGCCCCGAGAGCGACACCAGAGCGGCCGCCCTCACCGAGCCTCCCGTGGCATCCCCGTGGCGTCGCTTCGCCGCGCGGGGCCTCTCGCGGCGCCGCCCCGCCAGCGCCCCGCCAGCGCCCCGCCTCGGCGCGCTGCCATGACGGCGGCCGACGTCGCCCTGCTCGACGCGCACCTCATCGTCATGCCACTGCCGTGGCGGCGACGCCGCGGCTCGTGACGCGTGACAACGCGGTGACAACGCGGTGACAACGCGGTGACAGCGCCGCGACGACAACGCAGCTCCACGCGCGTCATGCGCCGAACGTGATTTTGGAATAGACAGCGACGCGCCGCCATGCAGCAGCCACGTCCTTCAGGTGAGTGCACTGTAGCGGTGCGCGCCGGCCCGGCTGGCTGGCCTCGGCGACGGCCTTGGTGACGGCCTCGGAGGCGAACTCGGGAGCGGACGACTCCGCACCGTGCAGCTGTTCTGGCCCCTAACCTCACTCGGCGTGGCGCGGCGTGGTGCGGCGTGGCGCGGCGTGGCGCGGCGGGCGCGGCGTGGGCTGGCGCTGCGCGGCGTGGCGCGGGTGGTGCGGCTCGGGCGCGGCTGGCGGGCGTGGCGCTGGCCGTGCCGGCGGGGCGCGGCGTGGGCGGCGCTGGCGGCGTGGCGCGGCGTGGCGCGGCGTGGCGCGGCGTGGCGCGGCGTGGCGCGGCGTGGCGCGGCGTGGTGCGGGGCGGGTCTGGCCGCGGACTGGCCGCGACTTGGGGTGGTGCCAATTGTCCCAGGGTCACGGCGCTGCTCGCGCAGCTTGCCAGACTCGTCTCTGTCTCCTCGCCAAAAAAGGAGGCGAAAAAAGAGAGAGACCGGAAAAAGCGCGCGCAAGCCGACGCAAGCCCTGCCAACAAGCCGTTTGCGACAAACATTCGCTCTCATTGCTGGAGTAACTCACAGGGCCCAAGTTGGCGAGCGTTACGCGGCGATGAATGAGGAGTGCTAAAGTGTGCGCGGCGTGCGTGGCGTGCGGGGCGCGCCGCGGCCGGGAGTCGAACCTGAAAGGACCGGGCCGGCGTAGCCCGCCGTAGAAGTTCCGACTCGGCGGGGCCAAGCCAGGCCAAGCCGACCCGGCCGGGCCGACCGGGCCAACCCAGCCAACTGGGCCACCGAGTTCTGCGTGGTTCTGCGGCGGAGGACGCGATTCAAAGCTCGGTGCGGTGCGAGTCCGCGCCAGTCCGCGCCACTCCGCGCCTCTCCGCACCAGGCCATAGCAGCGATGCTTCCAAAGAGTCGTCGTGTCGTCGCTCTGTCTCCGTCGCACTTGCGGGGCGTCCCTTGGGAGTGCGACGGAGGCAGGGCGATGAAATGACCGTTCGGAGCGACGTCAGCGGTGGACGGCTCGGTCTGGAGAGTCACGCTCCGAAGTTGTACAGCGCAAAACTGGCGCGTAGTCAATGGGGGACGGGGCGCGGCTGAAGTGTGCGGAGAGTGGGCCACACGTGTCGGACACGTGGCGAACAAATAGTCTCACGCTACCTGCCTGTCTGCCTGCCTGTCTGCCTGTCTGTCTGCCTGCCTGTCTGCCTGCCTGTCTGATCGGTCACGCGTCAAATGGCCCAATCCCCGACGAGACAAATATTGTCCCTGACAGCAGCGGCGCGGCGTGGCGCGGCGCGGCAAGGCACGGCACGGCACGGCAAGGCACGCCAAACGCGGACTAGTGCAGCGCATTAAACGGCACGGCCCCCCTCCAAATTGATTCCTGCCCGGTGCTGTCTCTGTCGTGCACCGTTCGCGCTCCATTGCACGCCCCACCTCCTGTCTCTCTGTGCCTGCCTCTCTCTCTCTCTCTCTCTCTCTCTCTCTCTCTCTCTCTCTCTCTCTCTCTCTCTCTCTCTCTCTCTCTCTCCGACTGCGACTCTTTGCATTATTCACACACGGGGCTGTTCGGAGGCGCTGCTGCCGGCATGCCCAGCAGGGCAAAAACGGGCATGCACGCCAACGAGTTTGTTTTTCATTCATTAGCCAAGCAGTGTTACCACTTGTCCAAACTGCGGCCGCACGACAACAGCGGTGCGCCGACCCGCCCGGCGCACCGGCTGGAGTTTCCGGCGTTTAAAAAAAACAACAACAAAACAGAAAAAGGAGCGGGACACGGATACCGGAAATTACGCGCAACTTTGCGACATTCGAGCCTGACACGCGCGGCTGGCTGAGCCATGGCCGAGCGCGGGGCGCCCGCGGTGCGTTGGCGTGCGCGAGGCCGAGGGCTGCGGGGGGCGCCGGGGGCCGCCGGGCCGCTGGGGGCGATGGAACGAAGGGTGGAGAGAATCTATTGTGTCTCTGTTGTAGCGCGTAGCGGCCTAGCGCCTCGCGCCACGGCGGCGGCCTGCCTGCCTGCCTGCCTGCCTGCCTGCCTGCCTGCCTGCCTGCCTGCCTGCCTGCCTGCCTGCTGCCTCTGCCTGCCTGCCTGCCTGCCTGCCTGCCTGCCTGCCTGCCTGCCTGCCTGGCGGCCAGCGGGACGTCCGTCCGCACTCAGCCTTTGATACACCAAATCAACAGGGAGGCGGGGGTGGCGCGGGGGCGGCGCGCCGCGAGAGGGGGGGTGGGGCGAAACGGGAAGCCACTCAAAGCAATCTGCATCTTGGCTCGCGCGACATTCGGATGTCGGCACAGGGTAATTTAGGCCAGCAGGGCAGTGGCTGGCCGGGCCATGGCCGGGCCGCGGGCTCTGTCCGTAAATAGACTCGCATTTAAAGAAACAGAGAGAATGCGACGCGAAATGGGAACAAATAATCTCGCTGCGATGTGTGCGCCTGCGTGCGAGTGTGAGTCAGCGCGCGCTCGCGTGTGTGTATGTGTGTGTGGTGCTGCGAAACTTCCCTTGCACCAACTGTGAGCGGCGGCGCCCATGTTTGCAGTTGACACTGCGTTCGGTAAGGGCATTACTTTGTCCGCACGAAGTACGAAGTGTGCCGCTCTGCGCCGCTCCGGCCGCCATCCTTCTTCCCCCCTCACTCCCTCCTTCTTTATCTCGCAGTCTTCATTCCTTCCGTCCGTCATCGTCCGGGCCGTCCGGGCCGTCCGGGCCGTCGGGGCCGTCGGCCCTGGCTGCTATCTGCCTTCCCCTTCCTCTCCTTCAGCTTAGATTATTTCCATTATTTTCCTCGCCCCCTTCCCCACCCCTCTCCCCCGAGGGCCGTTGGGCCGCCTCTTCATATCCCCGGGTCAGGCCGGTTCCGCGCGGGAGGCCCCTCTCGCTCGCTCGCACTCGTGGGGCGCCCCGTCGGCGCGAGAGAGACCGACCGGCGGGACAGGACGCCCTCGCTCGGGGTCGGCCAGCTGGGAGCGGTCTTGCCTCACTCCCACTGCTGCAGGGCCGCGGGGCCTGCCAGTGGCGTGGATGCGACGGCTCTTCGGCATGACGGGGCCAAAGCAGCGACAGCAGCGACAGCAGCCAAAGCACCGAGAGCGGCGCCACCGCGCTCGCCCGCGGCCCTGCGGTCTGCACCTCCAGAAAGTTGTTTTATTTCCAGGCAGATGCCCTCGGCGGCTCGGCCTCCGGGCACCGGAGTTTAGAGAGCGCGCCGATACCGCCCCGGGCCGGAGGGGCCCTCCAGGACGCCCTCCAGGCCGCCCTCCAGGACGCCCTCCAGGACGCCCTCCAGGCCGGACGGGCCGCAGAACGATAAGCCTGGCCGTTGGCGCCGTTGGCGGTCGGGAGCCCCTTTGAGTGCTGGCGGTGCCAGCGGGGCGCGGCGACCACTAGCGCAAACTTGTTATACCCACTACTTAATTCAGAGCTGTAAGTTTCACCGAACAACAACCAAACTCGCCTCCCTCCCCTCCTCCCTCCCCCCGGCCGCAAGTTCTTCTGATTTCCATCGTGACCTGCCGCACCAGCAGCGCCAGCAGCGCCAGCAGAGCGATTCCGAAGAGATTCGTCGTTTCATCGCTCTGTTTCTGTCGCACCCGTCCGGCACGCCCCGCGAGCGCGACAGAGACAGAGCGACGGAACGACTGTTCGGAATGAGTCTGCAGTGCCCTGGCAGTGCCCTGGCAGTGCCCTGGCAGTGCCACGCCGCCGCCGTCCCTTCCGCCGCGCGTCGCCCCGTCGCCCCGTCCCGTCGTTGATTTCCATATGCAAATTGGCGTGTACGTGTTTTGTTTCGCTCTTAGTTTCCATTTTCACACCACTTGCCTGCGGCCTGCCGCCTCCCGCCTGCCGCCTCCCGCCTGCCGCCTGCGCTCTCCGAGTCCAACCTCGCCACCAGACGGCCTCCTCGGTGCGCACGGTGGGCCAGAAGAACGGTGGAGGCGGCCAAAACCCCAGACGCGTTTTGAGCTCTAGAGTCGCTAAATGGGACTCGAACCGAACGTGTGACCCTACCAATGGATTCCTCGTTCGGAGATCAATCCGTTCGTGAGGTCACACGTTCGGTTCGAATCCTGTTCAGCGATTCTAGAGCTCAAATCGCGTCTAGAGTTTTGGCCGCCTCCACCGGTCTTCTGGCCCACTGTGGTGCGCCTCCCCGCCGTGCGCCTGCAGGCCGCGCAGGCCGTCGCTCTGTCTCTCTCGCACTCCTGGGCAGACCCGTAGGGCTGCGAGAGGGACACAGCGCCTGTTTCGGAATCGCTCGGCCAGGCAAACTGATGCCCCCGGCGAAAAACGAAAACAATAAACCGAAGCTCATTCTTTGTCGATTTCCGCGCGCGCCACGGCATTTCCCCGCTGCGTCCAGGACGATGACGACGACGACGACGAGGCCGACGACGAGCACGGCGTAGTGGAGCGCAGACGGAGCAGATGGCACGTGATAGCGGCGTGCGAGTCCCGGAGAGGAGATGGTTCGCGGCGCTGTCTCGCGCTGCCTCGCGCTGCCTGGATCCGGGCGGGCTGAGTGGGATTTAGTGGTGCAGCGTAGCGGAGCGTATCGGAGAAGTGATAAGGTTATACGGGGAGAACGGAGAACGCAGCACGGCGACCATCTCCGGGGACGGATGTGCAGCGGTTCCACCCCACCCCACCCCCACCCCGCCCTGCCTCGCCCCGCCCCGCCCCTCCTCGCCCCGCCCCGCCCCGCCCCGCCCCGCCCCACCTCATGCCGCTCGTACAGGCCCTGCTCTGCTGGAGGCCATACGGCGCAGCCATAAATGCCCAATGCCTCGGCAGCATTGCCACAGCCGCCATCGGCGTGGTGTGTGTGTGTATGCGTGTGTATGTGTGTGTGCCAATCGTGCCAATTCCGGTGTGACACCTGCGCGTCGTGTCAGCAGCGTGTCCGATCCCGTGCCCGTCGCGTGCTGTGTGTGTTTTGTGTCTCTGTCTATGTGTGTGAGTGAATGTATGTTTGTGTGTGTAGGTGTGCTAGTGTGTGT